ATTACATGTGAACGTGATAAATAAACATGGTCGTCCATATTCGCGCACGAAAGTCAGAGCATCCCGTATATATTCTTGCATATGACGTGGACTGCTTACGTACGATGATGGTAAAATGACATGGTTACCAATTTCGGCAACGTCGGCGTTGTTGTTGATAGCGTCTCGCAAATGAATGTATCGTAGTCGTTCGCCCTCAATCTTCGCGTACATGTTGACCATGAATTGTTGACAAAGCTCACGACATCGTAGAATGACGTTGTCCAGGCCGCGTCTAATCATTAATCGGTACGCATAATAATCCTTTGAGCTAACGTTCTTGTTTGTTTCAGCTCCTGTAATAATATATTCATAAAAATTAATTTAAATTAATTACGTTCAATAATTTAATTGTTTTGTTAAATGATTAATGATCAAATTCATAATCAATGAAGTACCTGATACGGGATCTCGTTGTTTTATGTTTATGCAATATCCGTCTTGTCCCTTCCAGAATATTAGCGGATATTGGAGAGCGTCATATGAACGATGTGTATCAGCAATGAACTGAAGATTATTATTTCTTCTACGAATCACAATTTCTCGTGCACCTGTACGATCGCCAACCATGATTCCAGCAACATCATCAACAACGGGTGCATTGAATCTACGAATATGCTCTCCAGCTGGTGTTTTATCAGGATTAATGACGATAGCGTGATTATCGCTTTGTAATTTGTGCATGTGTGATTTGAATATTTTCAACAATTCGTTGTGCTCATTCAATAGAGCATCCAGCTCGCTGACGATGCGTCTGGCATAAAATGAATCAAGGTTATTATAATCACAACGTGCATTCACGCGATTGGCAAGTGCGCTTCCGGAATCCTCGCCGCCCATGAAGTAGATTTGTAAAAATGTATGTGGTTCGTTTGGCATTGGCAGCAGTGAGCCCATTTTATGATAAACTTGGCCTCTGATTTTGAATGTAGAATTGTATTGTTGACCATTTGCATTAGTATTTCGAACTATTTCTGTTGCTCCGAACGATGTCATTTGAAGGCATGAATTGAATGTTCGAATTGACTTCAGGAACACGTTAGAATCTGGATCCGTGCCGATAAGTAAACCGTTCAATGGTTCAGATGGTGTTTCAATTTCAGGTAGTTGCACTTTTTCTAGCATCACATCCCAGCTGGCTCATTTTTGAATTTCAGACCAATTACCACTTTTGAATGTGCATAATATTCAATATCGGGCTCATACTGGAATGCTAGACGCAGGAATGAATCAGATGTAAATGCTCGATGTACCTGTTGTCGTTGTTGGTCATTTGTTCTGCGTCTATTGACTGTGAAACGGCGTGATTGTCGTTGTTCTAATCTTATTACTTCATTGCGTTCAGCTCGTGTGTCTTCTGACTCTTCTTGACGCAATTGCGCCATTCTGACACGTGCATCAGTATTTTGTTGCTGGATTTGTTCTTCGGTTCTTTCGGATCTTCTATTTCGCAAGCTTCGAGATTTACTTGTATTACGGTTCAAATCAGCCCCTTTGCGTTTTGTTGGCATTGAAATATGTGCAAAACACACGTACATAGGTTAGGTTAGGTTAGCAAAATTAGCCAAATCGGCCCAGCCGTTCTCAATTGTTATTGGCACGCGGGTGCCACGGAAACCAATAATAAAAAATAACCACATAGAGTGTATATTATCTCTCCATGGCAAAATAATAATTGTTGAATATCGTGCGTGCTAGTATACTTTGACTTAAGAGGCCATAACTCCGGAACCACTTATCGCAGAGCATACAAACTTAGATAGTAGCCGATTCTCAGACCNTTACAATTTGAGTAGAATCAGACAAAGTTAAACTAGAATGTTCCACATTTTTTATACTTTTTGCTAGTATAAAAAAATGATATTGAATAAATGTAATTTTTTATTCTGAACATATCCTAGTAAAGAATCTAAAGAATCATAATCCGTTTTCAAAATTAAAATCCAGCAAACACTATCCGTTTACAGCAAATCCATTAAAATATACAATGTTAACAATCTATTTCATATTTATAATTTATTTTTTAGGTATAGGTACTATGTACAAAATCCAAAATTATTTATTAAAAAATTTATACTCAGGTATTTAAAAAAAAAAATGTTTATTAAGTACATAGATACGCCTATATAATTTCTTTAAAACAAATAATTTACATCTACGAACTATTTAATCCCTTTCTTGTTCCAGTACTAAATTCGGTTTCACTATTTTATTATTTAGGAGAATTGTTTCATAGTAATATTGTTTACCATACGAATTTTGTACAGTTTTGAACAAGTTGCATCAGAAACTCAAAAACATTATATATATAAACTTATAACGTTCAGCAATTTAACACGTTATTTTGAAAAAGTATTTCGGATTGACATTTCCTGAAAATTTAAAATTACTGAAAAAGTAAAGTAAGAAAAGTACACAAATTAATGTCAATAATTTTAATTTTCATCTTCCTTGCTCGGAAGATGTTTTTCAAACAATATTGTAAAAATGTTATTGATTGTTCTTTTCAATTATTCGATCAATTCAAAAATGTGAAATATTATTTTTATATCCCTACCATACGAATTATTTTTAACGTATGAATCATTCACATAATGTCTCACTGATGTTTATTCGTTTCAAAATATGAATAAAATAAATTATACTTGACGTATTTTTTTATTGATGTCATAAAAAATAAAAAAAAAATAATAATAATTTATCGATTTCGACGTACTCGATCAATTCAACACAAACAGCTTCTTAGTTGGTTCGCATTTATACAGTATACCATTAACTAAATGATATCATACAACCCTCTCCCTATATATTTTTATTTGTATTTTATTGATTGGCCCCGAATTGTAATTGAGTAGTTGAAACGTAGCAGAGGTTTCTCCGTTTTCATTGATTATTAGAACACAGCATAGTTTTCTAAGTTCTACATTTGAAGTATAAATTCGAGAAAAAAAAATCACAGACTTTAATATCGTGTGCCATATTATGTTATGTTGTAGACACAAGAACATCTAAAATTAATAGCGAACGGTTATTAGGTAGTATACTAGTTAAGTAGTTTAGAAAAACACATGATATATGTATATATGAATCTTTCCTAACACAACTTGCACACTAAAATAAATGTGTCTGGGAATATTTTGAGAATTATGCTCATACTTATATGTTCAACTATAACTATTTTTACAGCGACAATTTAACAATATTTTTGATATTATTATTTTCATTTACAGAAGTGTTCCCTCTCGGATGGCCGGAAAAGTGTATCGGATGTATGTGCGAAGCGTCGTCCGGATGCAATCAAACGTGTTCTTGTTAAGTGACGTATACTGGCAAGATGCAGGAGCTCGGGTACTTCTTGGAGATGATCCTGCGCGGATCGGAGGTAATTCGTTTTTTTTTTATAGCTTACTGTGAATAAAAATTAAAATTAAAAAAAGTTAATAACGAGTTATAACGTACGGAGCTGAAACTTGGACTCCGAGGAAAAGAGACTAAAATTAATTCTTGATTCTCGAAAGGAAAATAGAACGGAAGATCTTTGAATCAATAAGGGATGACGAAGAGTAGAGACGAAGAATTACAGAGAATTATAAATAATATATGACAAAAAAAAAACATTTTAGAAACCATCAAAAAAGAAAGACTGTGATAGGTTGGACATGCGTGAAAAAATCAAATCCCACTACGTGGGACAATACTGAAACAAAACCCGACAGGAAAAAGTCCTTTGGAAAACCGAGAATGAGATGAATTTAAAAAAAATGTTGAAGCTTTAGGAGGTTGACCGAACGGAAAAATTGTAGATAAGAGATAGTTATAGAATTACATACGTGAGACAGAACGGTCCTACATATATAGAGGCCGAACAAACCCAAAGTTTGATATGGTTACTGAAAAATAGTAACTAATAAAATGAAAAATTTTAATTTTAGCGTTTGAAAGATGCGTCCGAGATCCGTATTGTGCGGCGAGAGCAGTAAACCAGTACATCCAGAGATACGCCAAGGAAAAATATTAAATGATATAATATATTATCTCTAAAAAAAAATAATCGATTACTGTGCATATCGCTGTTAACGTTTTTCCTGTCACTAATACCCCAGCGGTTTAGTTTTGATATTTAGTTGTCCGGTGTACCGACATATTTGTAATTTACACGAAATACTATTTCAAAGATTCGCTATCCAACACCAATTTATTTTAGTCCGTATACTATTGTACACATCACAATTAAAAGTTTTTTATTGACAAACAATAACAGATAAAACGGAGTAAACTCGTTTTGTAGATACCTGGCCTAATTTTGAATCAATTTAACATCTTATTATTTATTCCGTTTTTTATGCTTATCCATTAAAATCGTGTAGTTCAAATCCGGGACGGATTAGAAATATTTATGTAAATATTTATCAATCGTCATGTAGTTTGATAATGGTGGTTCACTGGTCTAAAATCTACAGGTCATTCCCTCAAAGTCTATAGTTACAATATTTTTGAAATAATTTTGCATTAGTTACACTTTCTTACTTTTTCTTTCCTAAGTGCCATGAGTAGGGCTCGAGTGTTATAGGATCAAAAATAGACGATGATGGATATGCAAATAAATCTAAAATTTTCAATGAATATTGTATCTGATTATACGAGGCCACTAAAACCACCAATAATCTCGGCCGCGCGAATACCGTCACATTCCGGCATATTGTAGAAATAACGGTGCGAAACTGTCGGGTCCAATAAAAATTCCAATTTATTTCCGAAACACGAATGGCTGTAAACTGCACATTCCAAGAGAAACCCGTCCTGCAGAATCGCCCGAAAATTAATCTAAAGAAAACGTGCGCGTTGTCTTCTCAAGTATACACTTCCATAGTCTTTTGAGCGCATTTACCCGTATACAAATATTCGACTGCTATGACAATTAATTATTTATTATTGGTGATCAATGGTTCAGACGAAACATCAAACGGAACAGATTTAATATAATTAATAAGTGAAATTTTAAACGTTTAATATTAAATGTGCATCGCAATTGAATATTACTATTACTCGATACCGGTTAATAATTAATTGACATGTATTTTTAAAATCGATTAATGTCATTGCGTATAACTGCATAAAATATAATCGTAATTAAATGTCCACAGGATTGCAATAAAGACGGTACGCTTTCGTGCGACGATTACGTTCGATTGCATTATTTTGGCGANTTTTTTTTTTTTATTATAATGTAATATTATTATCATTGTATTAATTTATATTTAAAACTTAATTTTGAACGCATATTATTCTATTATCATTAAGCGTATTGTATAAAATGTATTGATTAAAAAATTATGTATTCTGTATACCTATATAATGGTTGCATAGATACAATTTGAACGATTGATTTCAATGAAACTATTGTGATATTAATATTATTTATATAAATGAAATTTAAGTGAACAGATAATAAATTATTAAACATATTACCTTTTTATATTATTTAAACTAAATTTAAGCGTTTTAAAATGAGCAGTTACGAGGACGAAGGAAAATCCGCAAAACTAATCCTCGAATCTCCAGAAGTACGTATTTCCGAGTGACCCCAGTAAAATATTGTCTCGAATATGCAATCTTTCGGACGCCTACTACTTAATTAATATTAAATTTACTGTACTTTGTACTTCTGTTATCAAACAGAAGGAAAAGATGAGACGATGGAACGATGTGACACTGTTTAAGATCATCCACAGAGAATTGTTGGCGAAACCGGTTCGTCGGCGATGTGAAAAATGGCCGAATCCATTAATGGAGGTTAATATTAGAATTTGTATTAACAAAAAAAAAAAAGCGTTTAAATGTTAATTTTGTATTTAGGGCCCTTATGAGATTTCTCAAGCCGCTCTAAAAGCTAAAGCGTCTGACCGCCTGATAACTCTAGCAGAGCCCAAAAAAGAAAATATGTTTTACGAAATGAACTATTTTCCAAAACCTTCAGATGATAAGACCTCAGATAAATTATTAGATTTGAAGAGACTAAAAGAATTGGCTACATCGAGAAAATACAAAGACGTGTAATGAATTATTCGTGTGAAAAATATTTAAATCATTTTAGCTCTTACAGTGTGTCATAATATTTTACTTCTTTTAGAGACGAAATTGAGAAAAAAAGTTTTAAAAATAAAATGCAATGGACCGCTCATTTAAATAAATTAAAAGTATTCGCTGCTCCAAAAAGAACACCTCCGAGCCCATTGGAACCGGTAAATTAAAAAGTGTTTCATTTTTCGCAACAGATGGAAAGACTTACGTAATTAAATGTTCATTTTATTTAGGAAAGAAAGACAAAAAATTTGAACCAGCTTCTATTGCGTCTAAAAGATTTATCTATGCCGGCCAATCGGCCCCCAAATACCAACGATAGGACAGTTGAAGAGATGCGCACAGTAACACGCAATATTATCGTCTACTTATCTACTTAATAACCTAGTTGTATTTTACGCATTAGTTATTGAATGGTTTCAGATCAAAAAATCGGTCTTAAAACACAAACCCAGCGAAAGAATCCTGAAATTAGCTCAACCTAAAGCATTGGCCGAAGAGACCTTGTTAGATTTAAATTATGATCCTCGCGAGCGGTTTTTAAATGCAAAATATTACAAAGGTAATATCAAATTTGTCGTTATTTAATATAACGTACAAATAAAGTATTTTAGACTATATTTTTTAAACTATTTCAGTGACCTAATTCAAATATGTTTTACCATATTTTATCTTATCATGTAACAATATTTACAAATAATAAGAATGTATAAAACAATGTTATTATTTTTTACACAGCATCGAAGAGGATACAAGAATTGGCAAGCCCCATTTTAAGGGCCAATCCCAAATCTAATGACATTAATATGGACGCTTTTAAAGTCAGTCCAACATCACTAAAAGCAAAATGCTCGAAGAGAGTAAAAGAGTTGGCCATGCCTATCAAGAGATAATAGCAGGTATAACAGTTGGTTTAAAGTAGGGTGACCAGTTTTGCAAAAAAAAAAAACGGGACAAACCATTTTTAGTTTAAATACACTAAAAAAACATACAAATTTTGTTTTATGTTTTTTATATTTTATAATTACATTTACAATTAAAATATTGTTTAACTACCTTTCTTAATATTTTAATACAAAACTTGATTACTTTTATTGGGTTGATGTCAATTGTTCATCATGTCCTTTATTATCAAATGTGTCGTTACTGTACTTTTGCGATGAACTGATTGCGTTTAACAGTTTTGGTTGTGTTAGCAAAAAATCATAAAAATCATTACACAAATATTTTTTGAAATGATTTTTCAAAATTATAATTGATTTTATGGTAGGAACAAGAAGCGATATTTTTCGTCCGTCCATAACACATTAGTGATAAAAAATACTCTTTCAATTGCAGAATTTGTTTCAGGCATTGCTAGAGAATATTCTACAATATTCCAAAATTTATTTATCAATATACTTTTACTATTTAAAATTTTATAGATAGCACACCATCTTTCTTCAACACAAACATATTTATTCTGCCAAAATTAAATTT